TGGACCGAGCTTCAGCGAGGTCACACATCAACTACCCGTCCCCGTTGAGATAGGTTTGTACATCCTCGATTCTGCATGGTCGAACGTCTCATCACCATATGCCTCTCTCTAGAAATTCGAAATTACGATCTTCCCGTGTTTGATCTTCAGCACTGTACTAATCTTCGCGTTCTTAACATTCAAAGCGTATACCTCGGGTCTCCGATGAGCAGCTTCCACGAACCCATTCCCCTCGCGACTAGTGCCGTGCAAAGGATAATTTCCTCAGTACCCCATCCCGAATCACTTGACGAGATCAAGATACGCTTCGAGGTCGATCTGTCTGAATGGTCGGGCGCGACAGCTTTTAGTACCGTCGCAGACCGTACTGCGTCACTTTCACTCAGCTCGAATGATAGTACTGCTCCATCGACCGACTATGTCCCGTTTATAGACCAGTTCGCGCGCTTCGACTGGACAGATTTCGCACAATTCTTGCTAGGCATCCCTTTTTCGCCTAAACCTAATTCATACCCTTCTTCTCTATCGAGCTCTCAGTCTAATATCAGATACCCTGACTCTTTTCTTTCCTCACTATCAAATCACACTAGTCTCTCTGCGTCACGTCCGAAAGGAAGCTCTGAACGAAGAATTCATGTTCAGATCGGGGCGTATCCGTCCGAGAACAAGGCTGCACGCGAGGTCTTCGCCAAGGAGTACGATCGCTATGTGGAATATATTTATAGTAATGGGCTGAAGAATATCGTGGACAGAGAAGGCCTGGAGTTGGTTTTCAGTCAGGTTGAGTATGGGAACTTGTACGAAGTAATGTAATCAGTATGTACTAGCCAGTTTTAAGTAAGTAATTTGAATCCTGATCGATTTTCACTGAAGTCACTGGCTCTACACACAGAGACAAGTTCCTCTGAGTATTCGCACTGTTCTTCTCCATGTTGACTTGCGGGTTTGCTATTCTATGCAAGCTTATGTAGAAGCCTGAAGGAGAGTCGAGACGATGAGGAAAACTCAGGGGGAAAACTTACATAATGCATTGATGCTTAAGGTTCGGCAAGCCGGCATACTATTGTTCTAGACTCCACGTACGCGTCGTGTACTAAAATTCATCTAGCACCTTGACGCATCTTGGCACCTCAGCATTCCCTGTCGCTCCGTACTGCACATGCGACTTCTCAACTTCAACACTCGACGAGCGCCATGAACCGCATCCTCCCTGCAGAAATCCTCGACCTCATCGTTGACGAGCTTAGAGATGACTACAACTCTTTAATGGCTGCCAGCTTGAGCTGCAAACGATTGTTGACTCGGAGCAGATTTCACCTGTTCCACACTCTTGAAATTGGAGAAGATCACCTCACTAACTCTGACATATACACATCAGGTCGAAAATCGACCTACTCACGAATCACTGTTCCTACCTTCCTTCAAATCCTTGACGTGCCCTACAGTAGCATAGGCCATGCTATCCGTTGTTTGGTCATTGATAGGATTTTCGACTGGGATACAAAATTACCTCGAGAACTTTCACGTATTCGAAAGAATCTCCCCAATGTCACAACCCTTCGCTGTAAACGCGTTCCGTGGCTAGAAATCCCAAGAGCATTCAGGTCCCTCCTGCTCAAACTGAACTTTGAGATGTTCATCATCTCCGATCTCTGGTTAGACAGCCCATCCAAGCTGGCAAAAATGATTGCGAAACTGCCTTCTAATCTTAAGAAGATTGCCATGGGCTCAATTCATTTCCACACTCCAGAGGACAAGGATACCAACGGTATCAACTTCGATAGGTTGGCCAAACGCAAGGTTATCCATTTCCACACTCTTGATTCTGTGTCAAGCATGGGAGCACAGAACTTTTTTCGTTCGTTGATCAGTTTGCGGTTGATCACTATCGACCGATTCATCATTGGAAGAGAGACATTGGTTAAGGAAGAGTTTAAGTGGATTGACGAGGTGCTGGTGAAATTTGGATCAAGGTTTAGCGAGGTTATACATCATCTAGTCCCAGCCAAGAATGGTTCTTCCATTTGCATTGTTACTGTGATGAATCTCTGATGATCGTATGCCCTTGTAGACATTTGGAATGGTGTCCCGTCGTTCAGTCTCCGACACTGTACTAATCTGCGCGTTCTCAGCATTCAAAGCGTATATCTCGGGTCTCAAGCGGGCGATTTTGATGTATTCACTCCTCTCGCAACTCGCGTCGTCCGAAGGATAATATCCTCAGTGCCAAATCTCGAATTACTCGAAGAGATTCAGATACGCTTCACGGTTGATTTGTTCCAGTGGTCAGATGAGACAGCCAGTATCGCGGCTTCTACTACAGTGCTTGCTCCTCCGTCTGACGATAGGACTGCTCCAGACACCGCCCCATTCATAGACCAGCTCGCGGAAGGTGATTGGACAGACCTCGCAAATTTTTTACTATGCCTCCCGTTTTCGCCTTCACTCGAATCATTCTCGTCTACCCGAACGAATGAGCCCCAGTCTCTCATCAGATACCCTTCTTCTTCTACCTCACCGCTATGCCACACTGTCCTCTCTGCAACATCTCCAAAGCGAAATTCGAGGCGAAGGATTCATATCCAGCTCGGCTTTGATATAAACGCAGACAAGGTTGCCCAGGACGTCTTTTCCAGGGAATACACTCGATGTGTGGAATATATTTACAACCATGGAATGAAGAACATTGTAGATGACGGTAGACTAGAGCTCGTATTCAGTCGGGTTAATTATAAGGACTTGTACGAGGTAATGCGATTATCTGTGTAACGACCATTCATAAATGAACTGACATCAACCCCAGATTGAGTAGCGACTGGATGAGGGTTATAGCCCGGTCATAGCCTTTTGGATCGAACTTTGCGCCTTCTGGAGGTCACATACTTTCACAAGGACTCACGAATCCTCCTGCTGCCTATCCTTTTTGTCGTATGTCTACTCTGTCTATCAAAATACCTATACATTCTCCGAGCCACAATACGATGGTCTTACATGGGCATTGGGCAGGCCGTTGTGTAAGGCAGTGGAAGGCGAACAAAATTTGGTGGCAGTGCAAAACTGACTTCTTGAATCTCACCATCATCATCTTTGGTAGAGTTTAGCATTCGACTGCAGTGATATTTGAAAGCTTTATTCCCTCAACAGCATTCTTTCTGACCGTCATCAGATTTTCTTGTGATCAGCTGGTGTTTGCAGTGGCTTTTGACCAGTGGAGCAACTCGAGATCAGTCGTTGCAGTGTCGTTGCACCCAGCTGCATCCCAAATGGAATACCCTTTGGTGGTGGCTCTTCATCTTTCACTCTTTCACGCTATCACCTTTCTTGGACCTCATCAACAAGATACACTGCGCTTTCCTCACTCGCCCAGCCCGTTTCCTCCAAATGACCATCGCTCCGATCAGCTTCCCCTAGCCGAGACGTGTTTAATATCCTTTATCACCTTGCATCTTTCAGAATTTTTGCAAGCATCCGCGTCATGGACTGTGTCTTCGCACCGGAATTACTCGACCACATCATCGACCAGCTTGGAGACGACAAGAAATCTTTGCTAGCTGTCAGCTTGAGCTGCAAGCAACTGTTGACTCGGAGCAGATACCGTCTCTTTCATACTTTCAGACCCGGTCGCTATTTCGCTCTCTCACAAACTCTGTCTGCCCTCTTTGAAATTCTTGACGCGCCTTACAGCAGCATGGGACGTGCGATCCACTGTCTTGTCATCGGTTATGATTTGCAGTTCCCTTCTACGTTACCCAGCGATCTTTTGCGTATTCGGAAGAATCTCGTCAACGTCACAACTCTTTGCTGGAATAACTATGGATGGTGGACTGTTCCGGATGCATTCAAGACCTTTGTGTTTGGGTTGAACATCGAAACGTTCATCATAAATGATGTCTATATACAAGACTCGCGCGAACTGGCTGAGATGATCACGATGCTGCCCTCTACACTCAAGAATATTGTCATTGGCTCAATTCGTTACAGTCACGATACTGCGAACACCGAGTCTATCAACGATATTTTGGCCAAACGCAAAAAGATACATCTCAACACTCTCCATTCTGGGTCAACTATGGCTGCGAAGAATCTTTTTCAACCATTGCTTAGTTCGAATATAAGCACCATTGACCGGCTCGTCATTGACGGCCATCGTTCAGACGAGGAAGCTGTGCAAATGGTAGATGGAATGTTGTCAACGTTCGGACCAAGTCTTAGCGGATTTACATATCTGAATCTCATGGCGGCAGGTTTGTACATCCTCATTTTCATGGAAATGTATCCTTATTCGTCACGTATCTTCTCTAGGACGTCGAAATCTCGTCGTACCCATTTTGAGTCTCCAGGACCGCACCAACCTCCGCACTCTGCACATTCAAAGCATATACCTCGGCTCCTCGTACAACATAGGACCGGAATTTCTTCCAACCGCCGTTCAAAACATCATATAGCACCATAAATTCGGTGCTCAAACCCGAATTGCTCGAAGAGATCAGAATACGCTTCGAAGTCGATATACATAAAGCGGACGTGGCAGCTGATACCGTTGCGCCTCCTACTGCAGTGCCCACCCTAGACTCTGCTGTTCCATCCTCTCAGGACTATGCTCCATTCATAGACCAACTCAAGCGCGTCAATTGGACTAAGTTTGCACAGTTTCTGCTAGACATTCCTTTCCCTGTAGGGCTCAATCCTTCGCCTCTATCAAAATCCCACCCTCGGGCTACCTCATGGTTCGACCATCAAGTCAGAAATGCAAAACAAGGTTTTCGACGAAGGATTCATATTCAACTTGGGTCATATGGGTATTATGGCAAGATTGATAGTTTCTTTCAGCAAGCGTACAACAACTATGTGGATTATATTCTTACTCATGGCATGAAGAACATTGTAGAACAAGGACTGGAGCTGGTGTTCAGTCGGGATGAAGATGAAGATGATAATCTGTACATACTACATGTAGTTATCGACTGGTTATGGATACAAAGAACTGAGTTTTAGTCTGAGCATCAGTGGTCTAACGGTTATGATCCGGTCTTCCCATCGCTAGTGTTTCGGTGAAAGTTATGGCCGGGAAAGGGGTTCGACTCCCCTCTGATGCATTTTTGGTTGTTTGACTGCTTTGACTGCCGGTGCAAATGGCACTGCTTGAGGTTTTGCGGATTCTCATGCACGTATGTATTTTGTTGAACACGGATGTGATGTTTCAAACAAGGGTATAGGGACAGGATAAATTCATTGCGCAATGAGTAGGGATACAGCCATGGAGATACACGCCAATGCAACATATGGTGATAATCGTTCGCCTGTGATTTTGATCGTCAGAAGTCAGAACTGCTGCATGTACATCGTGTTGGACATGGTACGGACCTATTCGCGCAGCCATGAAGAATAATCCCAGAAATCTATGCGCAACGAAGTCAAGATGAGTTAGTTATCGTGGTCAGCTACGTGATGGGGCAGAGGACGCACCCTTCCTTGTTCCTATCGACCAAACGCGGTGCCACTGCACGAATATATGTGCACGTACAAATCGCCAGAAGAATGACGAGGAGAAGCGATTGGAAGTTGAACAGAGCAGACTGGATATAGCGACGTAAGCCTCCGAGTTATTCTAGCAAAGAATAACGTACCATTTTGCTCAAATGAGATCAGGTGTAAGATGAGTTCGTCGTGGACGTCTATGAAGAGACTCGAGAGCATACGTGCACGTGGCGTTTGCCATTTCTGGACCGTTCGCACTTCCGGCCCGGCGCTTGGACTTTGTCCTCAACACCACTCAGGCTTTGAAGCTTAAGTTTAACCACTCACTCCACTCACTCCAACGATGTGACTGTCCAGACGCGATAAACCATCACAGAGTCAAGAGGATATAGGCGGACACATGGATACTACTTATTCTCAGTCGCCACCGCGTTATGTTGTTCACCACTTTCAATATGGAACGGACTCTGGGACATCGACAGTAACCGAAAAACTATTGCAAGAAGGAGCAGATCTCCTGAAGGAAGTTCGAAATGAGGAAAGCTGGCATACTGTGAAGGTGAAGCTTGGAAATATCTTTGGGAAGCTGATCGTTCGTGAGTACCTTCAATATTCATCCAGAATGTCACTCACTCGCACGTATTTCTCAGCTTCTCGACTTGTGACTCTTTCTGCGTCTCCACCTGATATCCCTTCGCCTCGTTCTCTTCCAATCTTGGACTCGATTAAAGACTGGAATGAGCCACCTACGGCCCAAGAACTCTACGCGCTAGATAGCTTGGAAGAATTCGAGTCTACAGATCTGTCCAGCTTGTTTTGTTCCACTATTGGAGATAGAGACGAGAGCCCATTCCAAGGAATGAAACCAACTATACCATGTGACTGCTTAGAACCCTTACTAGATCAAGAAGAATCGTCTATGAAGTTTCTTCGACTGGATACAGGTCCTTTACACCGTGTTATACCACAGGTATGTGATTCATCCAAACCTTTGGTAGTCCAATGAGAGGCTGACGATTCTTTTACGCAGCCACACATCATAGTATCCAAATCCTATAGGCCACCCGTTTTCGATGCCATCGAGACCTACGACCGAGCGACACCAATCTACCTCCCTCCCCATATCGCCTCCTCTTTTCTTTCGTCTCCAAACGATAATACGTTTGGACGCAGAGCATGGATCATCCCAGCCCGCGGAACTCTACCGCCAAACTGGAACGAAGCAGGTGCGAGCTCCGCCGTTGTCCTTGATGACACCAAACATGCCGAATCCTCCTCTCATTCACTTCTGGACCAAACGACCACTGGACAGACTATAAAATGGTCTCACTATGCTTTGACGGAGTTCTGGAAGTTTCTTAATACTCTCAGAGACTTGAATAATCTCGGGTCTCTTGGGATATCGTTTCATCCTGCACGTCCGCGACGTGGCGAGAAAAAGGAGGAGAGGGAGAAGGTTTCGTGGGAAGCTTCGGAGATGCTCCCTGGACTTCGTACGTCTGACATATGCTCTTCTCGTCCCGCAAATACCAGTTCGCGAATGGGTCAATCGAGCTCAGGTTCCAATACGTCGTCGCTGCGCGATTGCGATTACTTCAAAGTCTATCACGATTCCAATGTCTCGATGCATCTCAGGCGTGCATTGGATCTTTTCACTTTCCGGCTAGATTCTAATGACAAGGATTCACCTGAGCAATCTGGAGAGTCCGAAATGACTTCGACAAATCATCTTGAACGCACAAACAGTTTAGGATCGATAGGAGAAGGTGGGCAAAATACTAAGAGGAAGAAGCCTAAATACTGTCTACTTAGAGGCGCGAAGTTGGTTCTCATCGACGAGCGGTCGAGGGGGGTTTTGATTGCTTGATTCTATGTAGTATGATTTCGAGGATTTTCTGAATAATACACAGTCCGTCATAAACCACATCGACATTCAGAGAAGCATAGTGTTATAACAAGGAGAAGATATAAAAAAAGCTGGCACACTTCCGAAAGTTGTACATGATCTGGACTAATGGATCGAATGAAAGAGAAAGTGTAGAACGCAAGGGCTCGTCGACAATCTCGAAACGAGCATGTAGTTGTCCATCGTTTGTTATGAACAACCGCCCCCGGAATCGTGATCTTCGTCACAACGGGACCTCAGTGGTCGCGGGACTTTCTGGTACGAAATGCAAAGGGCGATGAGCCGCGCGCGTACACATGGAATGAGACGCTATGCGAAACGACGTACCTGTATTCGCCTTCGGCGGCAACGCTGAGCTCCTCAATTTCACCTTGAACACCAGACAAAGCTTCCGCAGCAGTGCTGTAGAAGACGAGCTGAAAAGAGTGTTAGATAAGAGATTAGCACATTGGTGACTAATTCATGAACTCACTTGGGCCTTGACCAACTCATTCAAGTTCTTAAGAGGTTCAGGCTGCAAGCAGAATCAGTGATGATCGAGCCTGTGACTCTCAAAAACACGCACGTTCTCCAAAACTGTTTTCATGAGAGTAATGGCAACCTCGGTCTTCTGAACGAGGTCATCTTCAGCATTCTCGACTTCCAGACGAGCTTGCTCCTGACGAGCGTGAGATGCAGACTTGAGACTAATTAAAAGAAAATTAGCAGCTAGTCTCGTAATCTCATAATGGGTAGCCATACGTACCCCTGTTTGGCGGCATCTAGCTCCAACCTACTTGTCCTGACAGCTTGCCTGGCTTTCATAGCAACGTTGATGCTCGTGCTCAAGGTTGTCTGCCAGGGGTGGAGATATCCATCCTGCACAGCCTGATCATGCTGAATACGTGCATTCGCAATCGTTTCGTTGGCTTGAGTGTACAACGCCAGCGCTTTGCCGAGCTTGCTGGAGTCTCCAGCTGGAGTTGAGATGAGCAGTTGCGAAGCGGTGTGAGAGGCACGAGTGAGAGCATGAGGAAGGGTTTTGTGCGGAGTCTCGAGATGAGGACGAGGAGCGGTAGCACCAGGCGAGAGAGGTGTGCCTTTGAGGTTCGTCGCGGCAAAGTTCTGGAAGTTGGTGCCGATGGTGTTAGAGAGTTCGGAGATGGACTCTTGAATTTGAACCGGATAATCGTAGGCCTCGGTATCGTACACCTGGCAATTGAACGTGTTACACATGAGAATAAGCTGTTTGCTTTGCTGTCATACCTTTGTTATTCTACACCATACGATTATTCAAGATAGAGCAATAGTATTCATGAGCACTCACTTCAACATTGCAAGATGGGCGTTCCTGAGTGCATCTACTCGTGCTTCGAGGTCCTTGTACTCTACAATGTGATAATCAAAATCTCAGCATTCATAGTCAACAAACGCGACACAAACCTTGAGGCAGCTCTGTGATTTCATCCTGAGAAACCTGTCCGAGTCTTTCCTTGGTGGCTTGTACGCTGGATTGGAAGCCTTTCGTGAATTTGTTCGCGCTTTGGCCTAGATTGAGATTAGCAAGGCCACTTTGTAAAGTCTTCCAGCCTTCCATGTTGTTTGTTCAAGAGTGAAGACTAGATGAGTAGAGCTTTCAGAACGATATCTGTAACGGTCGAGGGAAAAGCTGGATAGCAGAAGATGGCTGCTGAAGGTCAAGAAGAAACGTTGCCAATTCGCAGCGAGGCGGCCAGTTGCCGGCACTGCCACGGTCATTCTGGGCCGGCGCCGCCAGCGGCCAGAGGGCCTCAACAGGCCTCAACCTTGCTTAGGACTCGAAAGCACAGTACTATATACAGGATATATTCATCTTACTACATATATTGTTACAACGCCAGATGATAGAAGATATTGGAAATCGTGAAGTCATGACAAAATGAAAACCCAGTGGCATGTACATACATACATTGTACAGGTTTGAATACGACGGATTTCGAAAACTTTGACAAACTTTCACTCTGTGTATGGCAGTGTACTCGGAATAATACAGAAACACCTGCAATATTCCTACTGCTGATTAGCCATCATCTTCGCGAACGGATTGTTCGATTTGAACTGCCGACCCGGACTGGCAGCTTGAGATGGCCCAGGTTCCGATGGTCCTGCACGATAAGCTCGTGGTTCTGCAAATCGTGGCTGGCTCTGTTCTTCGACGTACATCTCCTCGTCTTCGTCATGAGCGCGATGGTCCCCCTCCTCATCATCATAGTAGTAGTTCGGAGAGTAGTGCCCACCGAAGTGTGGAGGATAATTAAATTCATACTCGTAACGGGGATCATCCCCTTCGTCTCTCAAAAAGAGACTGTGCACATCCTCTTCGGGGCGTGAACGGATAGGCAATGGTGCAGTAGACGACCGTACTTCAGGAGCCTCACGGGATCCACGAGACATCGACGCGGCCGCGGGGATCAGAGGAGTAGGGCGTTGTTGAGGGTTTGGGGGAGCAGATGCTCTTCCGCGTCGACCAGCATGGGCAGGAGGAGCTGGATCATAACGAGACTGGTCATCTGATAAGTGGAAAAGTAACAGCCATGAGGCAACAGCTTTGACAAAATAAGCGATACGACCCACAACGAAATTGCGTGCTGGAGTGCAGTGCTTCATTCCATTGTTGCGACCCATACCTTCGATTGTCGCCTTAATAAGCAATGCTCAATCAGAGGAATGGTTTATGCAGTCGTAGAAATAGAA